AGTAGTATTTGCAGCAGTGTTAATTTGTAAACACTGTGTCAGGTTGGTGTGACAGAAGTTTGCTTACTGCTTTAGACTTTTCCACAACACTCTGCAGACATGGACACACTTAAACTGTAAAGAGTAAAGAATAATGCACTCATACACTATTGTTTGATTGATTGAATCTCAAAAGAAGACAAACGTAAACAATATTTTATACTCAGGAATAGGGGTGTGACAATATATCGATTTTTCGATATATCGCGATACTTTCTCCCTCGATTCGATTATCGATATGCATTTTTTTAATTTATTTTTTACAATTCGTTTTTTTTAAATTGGTATCAATACTTAATATATGGCTACATTACGCATCTCCATTCCATTTCTCATTAAATAAAGTGTATTTTTCTTTTATTTATGCCATAAATTGGCATATTGTATATTTCTGACCAATATATCGATAATCGTCATATCGTGATAAAATCGTTATCGTGATAAAATCGTTATCGTGATATTGTTATCGTGATAATATTGTTATCGTGAGCTTTGTATCGTGTATCGTATCGTATCGTGAGGTACCCTTAGGTTCCCACCCCTACTCAGGAAACCGGAGAGAGGGACTTGTCTTTTCATAATGCAAACCTGGGTCTTTGACCCATGTTAGAATACAACAACAAAAATTCAGCAGAGGCGGACCAGGACCAAAACATGTAAACTGGTGTTCGACTTCAATCGTGGTCTCTCCCAGTCACCTGTGGTCATTGATAACTCCCAGGTGGAGATTGTTGAGGAGTGTAACTTTGTCCAACAATTTGAGATGGGACAAAAACACCAACCATACTGTTAAGAAAGCTCGCCAACATCTATACTTTCTGCGGAAACTTAGGGAATTCACGAATAACTCTTAAGATTTTGCTGAACTTTAAACCGCTGCACCATAGAAAGCCTGCTTGCTGGTGCGATTACTGTGTGCTTCGGCAGCATCACAGGCAAAGAAAACAGAGCTTTGAACAAAGTGGTTCGTTCTGCTCGGGGGACTGTGAACTGTGAGATGCCCGTTCTGGAGGCTCTTTATGAGAGCAGACTCTAAAACCAAGCCCTGATGATTGTTAATGACTCCTATGGGCTGAAGCGGCCTTGTTCCAGCCTCTTCCCTCGGGGAATAGATTCCGGTCCCTGCGGTGCAGGACCGCCCGCCATGCGAATAGCTTTGTCCCTCAGGCGGTTATAAGACTGAATAGAGCGCCCTGAGATTAGCTTCTCTTTGTAGCTTCTTCATAGCTTCATAATAATGCTTTTAGGAGTTTTATATGTGCCTCACTGTGTCTCGCTATTTCTATTCTTTTTGTCTGTGTGTGTGTGTGCTTTGTGGTGTTGGTGCCCCCGGTGTCTCCTGTTTGTGTTCCAATGTAGTTTTTTCTGCAATTGGCAATAAATTGATTCTGATTCTGAGCTCCTTCAGTGGAAGACTGAGCCCCAGTGCAAGAAAAAAACAAATGTGACATCTAAATTTCTCCAGTGAGATCAATAGTCTATCTTATCTTATCTTGAACTGCCGCATACGTGAGTTTACTGATCAGTAAATTGTATGCGGCAGTTCATCTCGACAAGAAAATGGACAGCATACTGCAGCAGCGTGGTTTGACAGGAGCAGTTACTTAAACCAAACTTTACACGAAACGTTTACTCCTAAAACCCACATATCACTACATGGATCTATCAACGTCTCGCCTCAAATTACATTAAAAGTGACATTTGTGTCTTAATCCTTTTGTATTTAAAAATTGTACGCAGTTCACAGAATTTATGTCCGCCATCTTGGTTTGCTTCGGCTGCTCTGAGACGCAAATGCGTAGGTTTGCATTACAACATAAACAGCTGAGGCAGTATATTTCAACAGGTAGTACAAACCGACATTACACTGGGACATGGCAAGACTCCAGCGAGGTGTTAATATCATGTCATGAATGTTATTATTTTTGTCAATATTCAAATTATGTTTGAATATAAAATGGTAAACAACCCACAGGTAAACAACAGCCTTTTTTAACTGTCCGTCACTCTGTCAAGGGAAGACAGAGAGCTGAGCCTGGATATCAAAGGCGCTGACTGGATTACGTATTGATCGCCACAATTGAGTAGTGCAAAGACTCCAGGGGTGTCCATGGTAACGCAGTTGGAAAAACTTGTGAAAAGTCCAATTAGCATGTTATGTGGCTTGTCCCCTTTAGCTGTGCTTTTTAGTGCAGTTTGAGTTCTGTTTGCTTCTAGCATCGTGAGAATGAGAAAGACTGGGGAGTGTGTTGATTCTCTCCAGAATCTTGCGTGACTTGAAACAGTGACTTGTGTCTTGTGTTGAGCAGAACAGCAGCAGATGTGTCCTCTCACACAGAGCACAGTGTGCCCAGGGACAGTGCCTCTGGGCCCGGCTGGAAAGAGGCTGTTTTTAGCCCTCTGCTTAAGAGCCATCAACACATCTGCCACTTACTCTGATTAGAACCACATCAGGCCTGTCACTCACCAGAGTAATATTTCATGGTTTTGACTGTTCAAACATAAAGGACTAGTTGTGTTTAGGCCTGATCTTGAGAATTTTACATATGGGCGACAGTGGCTCAGATGGTAGAGCTTTGGCCTTTGAGCCTGAAGATCGTGGGTTCGAGCCCATCACCGACTCCACTGATGTCTGATGTCATTGTGTCCTTGGGCAAGACACTTTACCCACTTTGCCTATAAGGAGCACGGAAGTAATGTTCGCTGCATGCCTTGTTGTGTTTATGTGTCTGCGTATTCATCAAACTGATATTTCCCCACTGTGGGACAAATAAAGGACCTTCTTCTCTTCTCTTCTCATATGGCATTTACAGTGCCTTGCGAAAGTATTCGGCCCCCTTGAACCTTTCAACATGTTGCCACATTTCAGGCTTCAAACATAAAAATATAAAATTTTATTTTTTTGTCATAAATCAACAACAAGTGGGACACAATCGTGAAGTGGAACGAAATGTATTGGATAATTTAAACTTTTTTAACAAATAAAAAACTGAAAAGTGGGGCGTGCAATATTATTCGGCCCCTTTACTTTCAGTGCAGCAAACTCAGTCCAGAAGTTCAGTGAGGATCTTTGAATGATCCTATGTTGTCCTAAATGACTGATGATGATAAATAGAATGCACCTGTTTGTAATCAAGTCTCCGTATAAATGCACCTGCTCTTTGATAGTCTCAGGGTTCTGTTTAAAGCACAGAGAGAACCATGAAGACAAAGGAACACACCAGGCAGGTCCGAGATACTGTTGTGGAGAAGTTTAAAGCCGGATTTGGATACAAAAAGATTTCCCAAGCTTTAAACATCTCAAGGAGCACTGTGCAAGCAATTATATTGAAATGGAAGGAGTATCAGACCACTGCAAATCTACCAAGACCCGGCCGTCCCTCCAAACTTTCATCTCAAACAAGGAGAAGACTGATCAGAGATGCAGCCAAGAGGCCCATGATCGCTCTGGATGAACTGCAGATAACTACAGCTGAGGTGGGAGAGTCTGTCCATAGGACAACAATCAGTCGTGCACTGCACACATCTGGCCTTTAACAGTCTTCTAAAATATATATATATATATATATATAGATTATGGGAAAATAATAATGAAAACAAACTTTCCAGCAAATCATAATAATGAGATGTCCAAGAGCTTTGTGCATTACCTGGAGAGTCCATCCTCCTGTCTGCTAAAACAGAAAGGCATGTAAGCATAATACTGTATATGGGCTTAGAAATTAATATGCTTACTCTTTGGACTCTAATCTGTTGATCTTGTTAATCATTTTCCCCTCCCAAAACTGCTTTATCGTTTATACCAGGTACCCTGGACTGCAAGAAATGTTGTGGATGCCACAATTCATGAATTTGAGTAGGAGGGAAATCTTGGAGAAGTTATTCCCCAACAGCAGAAGTTGGTTGACAACATAAAATCCTCCTTGCCATGTTTCAGTTTTAGCTGGCTTTCACAAATTACTATATATATATATTACTATATTGACAAAGAAGTGTTAAAAAGATTTTAGTAATTCCTCTGGTAAACACATGTGCAAAGTATGTACACATTGAAATATATTGAGAATAGCTAAACAATGAGACCTTTGCTGAAGCTGTAGGTGCTTCAGATGTTTCTAAAAAAGCCCCGTTTGTAAACAAACCGCTGCGCCTCAGTTCACTTTGCATATCCAGCTAATGTTAGCTTTTGTGCTAGTTTGACGCAGAGATCTTGCTGATATTGTGAAAAATTAGACATCCTTGTTTCGCTCTGGCCGTTTTTCACAATGAAAAAAAAACTCGGTTGCTGACAAAAAAAAGCATTTCTCTAATTAGCCTTGCGATGCATGGACACTGCTGCGTTGAAAGCATCTACTTTTTCCCGCATGTATTTAGAAATAACTGTAGGGGAAGAAAATTGAGAGAGTGATGATTGCCCCAGATCAAACTTTGTGCTGGTTTTAGCCACCACAAAGTGTTGTTCTGAGAGTCACACCACACTCCGGCCTAGCGTAGCTTTAGATTTAAAGTTTAGAGGGCACCAGCAGGATGAAATCCTGCAATACTACTATCTAGATCTATGCCTTGATCAGCCTAATAATCTGGAGGTGTAGAGGTCTAATCTGCCAGGGAAATCAGGGATTGTAATAAAGAAGCAATGACGATTAGCTACTTAGTTCTAGTTTTATTAACTAAACACAAGAAAGGGGTAGAGTAACGAAGGATTTTGTCACATAAAACCAGAATAATTCAAATCACATTCAAACCATAACACAACAACAGCCCACACAGGGTTTAGTTCAGTCTTACTGTGAGAAGACCGGGTCGTTGATCGGGTCTCTGGCTCCCTCCCAGCGTGTTGTGGATGTGGAGAAACACGCGGCTGTTGTTCTGGATAAGATGAGAGGCCGTTGTGGTTGTTGAAGAAGGCCCTTCCTTTCACGGGGCAAACAAACAATCCTCCTGCACACACGTGTTGCAGAATGTGCGCGTACGGCTGTCTTAACAGAACGGGTTGGTGAGAGTCCAGTGAGAGTCCAGTGAGAGTCCAAAACAACGCCTGCTGTACTTTGCGTTGCGGTCCGGGAGAAAGAGAGTTCAGTTCTTTGAACGGAGGGTTACACAGTCACGCTTGCCTGGCCGCGGCTTGTACGTTGAGTCCAGCTCAAAATGTACGCGTGACAAAGAACCGGTGTAGTTACAGAGAGAGCAGGTTTCAAAAGTGCACGTTAACATGAAGTCACATTTCCAAGAGTTAGTTTCTGCCGGTGCAGAGCTGTTTTGATCCCTGCTTGTGGGCGTGTCTTATGACGTCCAATCCCTGCAACTTCACAGTGGTTTCAGATAGAAATTGAACAGAGATTTTAACAACACACACATTATTTTGACATAGGGACACACAATTTCATTACAGACAGGATACACACGTTTCTGATTAAGACTTTCACAAAACAATGTATCCAAACAATGTAATGTCCACAGTCCGTTTCAGATGTATTGGCATCCCGTGTCCGCTAGGGGTGGTAGTGAGTAAATCCAAAGTCTCTGGCTGTCTGTGCCAGCGGGTGGTGTCTTTGGGGTTTGTTTGGAGTCCATGGGGTGGCACCAAATGCTCCTTTGAAGTGACTGAGGTGATGGCAGACGGCCCCATTTTCTCTGTGGGGGTCTGGAGACAGTGGTAGGGGAAAACAGAGCCTTTTGTCTTGTAATTGAATTAGTGTTTGGTTAGCGAGGCTCTGTGGCTGGACTTCTTATCCTACATAACCGTCTTACCTTTCATGCAGAAATGATGCCATCTGTGGGTCTTTAGTCCTAGCCAGAGGTTCTCTCAGAGTTTTCCACTTAAAAAGCAACTCCAAAGTCTCGTTTGTTGCCTACGGAGATCAGACTCGAGTTTCGCCCTTTTTGTCGCACTTGAATAAACTCTCTGTTTCTTTACTTTAGTTGGAGTCTGGGCTGGAGTTTCAGCGCTGCCTGAAGCCAGTCTCTTGTTATTCTTCGCTGTATTCATTCTTCCAAAGCCACCTCTCGCTCTGCAGCCTCACATTACTTACTTACTATTGACGAATACAGCTAGGGGGTTGCTACCCCTGTGCGTGAACGCGCATGGCGTCATTACGCATTACGCTGCCCCAGGAAATTATGCAGGGAATTTGCTTATTCGACCTGAACAAGCAAATTTCAGGCATATAGAGGCAATTTTACTTGCATATAGAGGTAATTGCAGTGAAAAGACCAGGGCTCATTATAATCACCAGGGCATTGCTGGAGAATATGTGGAAGAGTGTATTTTTATATGTGGTTAAACTTACTGTCAGGGTTGTGGTTGTGTGTGTGCTCTCCCTCCTTCCCTCTGTGTTCCTGGAGCTGGGCGGAGTGTCTGTAGTCCTGGTCCTGCCCCTGGCTCAGCCCTCCACACCTGCGGCTCATCAGCCTCGCCTGTTAAAAGCCTGGTTCACCCTTCACCATGTGCCAGATTGTCATTAAAACTTACAAGACACAGGTTCGTTTTTTGGTCCAGACCTAGTCATCCTCCGGTTTTTTGCCCTGCTTCAGCCTCCAGCCCTGCTCAGTCCTGCCCAGCCACCACTGCTACCTGCTTGCACCTATTTTTGTGATAAATCTTGTAATCATTGTCTGCACGTTTGATTCTCCAGTCATTACAACAGTACAATCTGGCCATGAATCAAGCAGACAATGACCCAGCCCAACCTCCGGCAATACAACAAGCTGTCTCGCACCAAGGATCCATAAATTGGCCATCATGAACAGAGTATCCGAATTTTGTTTGAGAGCAACCACGCCCTGGCACAGCAGGTATCGCAACTAACCTCCCAAGTTTCTGCCCTACTGTCTCTTCAGTCACCTGTCCCTGCTGCTTCTACTCTTGCTTTGGCCTCTGCTCCCTCCCTGGAGTCTCGGTGTTCAGACCCTGAACCATACTCTGGTCAGCCAAGCCACTGCCGTGGTTTTCTTTTTCAATGTACATCTGTTTTTCAACAGCGTCCAGCTTAATTCCCTTCTGACTGTAGTAAAATACGATATATTTGTGGATTACTACGAGGAAAAGCACTACACAGAAGCTAAATTTTCAAATTTTTCTATGGAGCACGTTGATTATGTTGATTTTGTTGCTGAGCTTAAACGTGTTTTTGACCAACCGGATTATCAAGCAGATTCCTCTCGTCGCTTGTTGAATCTCTCTCAAGGTGCAAGGTCAGTGGCTGATTATTCAATTGAATTTTGGACTCTGGCTGCTGAAGTTGATTGGACAGTGCTCTCAGAGCTGTTTTTGTTAAAGGGCTGAGTGATAAGTTAAAAGACGAACTAATTTCTCGTGATGATCCAGTTGACCTCAAATCTCTGGTTTCACTGGCTAATCGGATTGATAACCGCCTTCAGAGTCGTCTCAAGGAGAGACGCCCTTTTTCTACTCCATTTTTTCGTCAGCCTCTACCACTACAACCAAGCCCTCGTGCGCCCCCATCTACGCCTCTCCCTGTGGAGGAACCCATGCAATTGGGCCGAGCACGGCTTACACCAGAGAAGCGCCAACAACGACGCCGCCAGGCGGGTGAGTGTCTGCCCAAAAGGCCATGCTCGCCAGTAGGTCTGGGAATACTGGTGAGCCATAATCCTCTCTCAAAAATAAAGAACTCAAAACTTCAAATTCCTGCAACTTTGTGTCACAAGACTTTGACTCTGCCTATTAAAGCTCTTATTGATTCTGGTGTAGAGGAGAACTTTTTAGACCAAGTGGTGGCAGAGCAGGCAGACTTTGTTTTAGAACCTTTAGAAACGCCCTTGACCGCACTGGCTCTTTACGGCAGTCAATTGGCGAAGATCACTCACATTACTGAGCCAATCTCATTAGTTTTGTCTGGCAACCATAAAGAGAGGATGCAGTTTTTTGTCATCTCCGCTCCCTCCACTCCACTTATTTTAGGACATCCCTGGCTGGTAAGACACAATCCCTCTATCAACTGGTCCAATGGAAAAGTGTCTGAGTGGAGTGTTTTTTGCCATGCTCACTGTCTTCAATCTGCTCTGTCACCAGTAGGGGGGCTTCAGACTCTACATGAACTGGAAAAGCTGGATCTGTCCTCTGTCCCTACAGTCTACCATGACCTCGGTGATGTCTTCAGTAAGAGTCGGGCACTCTCACGCCCTCCCCACAGGCCTTATGACTGTCCTATTGACCTGTTGCCTGGTGCACCTCTTCCTTCCAGCCGCCTCTAAAACCTCTCCAAACCAGAAAGGGAGGCCATGGAGGACTATATCAGGGACTCTGCTGCTGGGATAATCAGGCCGTCTTCCTCACCTGTCGGGGCAGGATTCTTTTTTGTCGCTAAGAAAGACAAAACACTTAGACCCTGTATAGATTACAGGGGTCTGAATGGTATTACAGTCCGTAATAAATACCCGTTCCCAAACGCCCCTGGTCACACATAGCAGTGGATTTTGTGACTGGCCTCCCACCATCCCAAGGTAACACAGCCATACTCACAGTAGTAGATCGCTTTTCCAAAGCTGCCCATTTTATTGCATTGCCTAAACTGCCTACAGCTAAAGAGACAGCAGATTACCTCACTAACGTTTTCAAGCTCCATGGCATTCCACTCGACATTGTTTCTGACCGGGGCACGCAGTTTACATCACAAGTTTGGCGTTCTTTCTGTGAGGCTCTGGGAGCTACGGTGAGCTTAACGTCTGGTTATCACCCTCAGAGTAACGGCCAGACCGAACGTGCCAATCAAGACCTGGAGACGGCGCTCCGTTGTGTCACTTCCTCGAACCCCACTTCCTGGAGCACGTTCTTACCTTGGATAGAGTATGCTCATAACTCTTTGATGAGCTCGGCCACTGGTCTGTCCCCATTTCAAGCTGCTTTGGGTTATCAGCCACCGCTTTTCCCTTCCGAAGAGTTGGATCTGGCAGTACCATCGGTCCAACACCATCTCCAACGTTGCCAGAACGTGTGGAGGAAGACCCGTGCGGCTCTTCAGCGGACCACAGCCAGGACCAAAGCTTCCGCTGATAAACACCGTTCGCCTGCGCCTCAATACCAGCAAGGTATTCCAAACACATACCCCTGAAGACTGATTCCCGCAAGCTGTCCCCTCGTTTCCTGGGTCCCTTTGTAATAACCAAGGTTCTGGGCCCTTTTACTGTTCGTCTTCAGTTACCTTCTGCTCTTCGTGTTCACCCTACTACTTTATGCTGTTTCATGTCTCCTCCACCCCCTCCTTCGACATCTGGAACTATCTAACATCATCCACCATCGTCACCAACACTGGCGCCCCCATGGGAGTGTATTAAGTCCATTCCTGTACACCCTCTATACAGTGCCTTGCGAAAGTATTCGGCCCCCTTGAACCTTTCAACATTTCGCCACATTTCAGGCTTCAAACATAAAGTTATAACATTTTTATTTTTTGTCAAGAATCAACAACAAGTGGGACACAATCGTGAAGTGGAATGAAATTTGTTGGATAATTGAAACTTTTTTAACAAATAAAAAACTGAAAAGTGGGGCGTGCAATATTATTCGGCCCCTTTACTTTCAGTGCAGCAAACTCACTCCGGAAGTTCAGTGAGGATCTTTGAATGATCCAATGTTGTCCTAAATGACTGATGATGATAAATAGAATGCACCTGTGTGTAATCAAGTCTCCGTATAAATGCACCTGCTCTTTGATGGTCTCAAGGTTCTGTTTAAAGCGCAGAGAGAACCACTAAGACAAAGGAACACACCAGGCAGGTCCGAGATACTGTTGTGGAGAAGTTTAAAGCCGGATTTGGATACAAAAAGATTTCCCAAGCTTTAAACATCTCAAGGAGCACTGTGCAAGCAATTATATTGAAATGGAAGGAGTATCAGACCACTGCAAATCTACCAAGACCCGGCCGTCCCTCCAAACTTTCATCTCAAACAAGGAGAAGACTGATCAGAGATGCAGCCAAGAGGCCCATGATCACTCTGGATGAACTGCAGATAAGATCCTCACTGAACTTCTGGACTGAGTTTGCTGCACTGAAAGTAAAGGGGCCGAATAATATTGCACGCCCCACCTTTCAGTTTTTTATTTTTTTTAAAAGTTTAAATTATCCAATAAATTTTGTTCCACTTCACGATTGTGTCCCACTTGTTGTTGATTAATGACAAAACATTTAAATTTTATATCTTTATGTTTGAAGACTGAAATGTGGCAAAATGTTGAAAGGTTCAAGGGGGCCGAATACTGTACAAAAGACCGCATTAGCCCATCTTCAACCACCACATACTTTAAATATTCTGATGACATTCTGGCCCTCCTGACAGACAATAATTCCATTACTGCCTACCATAAGTCCATCTCCCACTTCAAAGAGTGGTGTTCTGAAAACTCTCTGGAACTGAACACAGACAAAACCAAGGAACTAATTTTCCACTCTCATCTACACACTCTCATCTACACACCCCCCCCAGACCTGCCTCCCACTCTCATACACAACAAAACAATAGAACGGGTTAATCACTTCAAATATCTTGGACTCACACTGGACAATAAACTCACCTTTGAACAACATGTCCCAGATATCCATAAACGCTTAAAACAAAGACTCCACTTCAATCATTCAACCTATTCTCCTCTACTGCTCCCCCTGTTACTTTAACAGTCTCCCCACCACAGACCTCTCCCATCTCAACCTCACAGCAGTAACACGCATGGCCCAGACAGTTAGCACAGACCCAGACCATCCCCTCCACACCCACTTCACTCTGCTGCCCTCAGGACGCGGATACAGAACATTGAGAGAAGCAGGCAAGATTTAGTAAGAGTTTTGTCCCTTCAGCTATAGCAGCTCTTAACAGTCTGTAATTTTGCCCTTGTTCCTGTGTTGTATGTGTTTCTCTCTCCTTCTGTTTATCCTGTGTCTATTGTAGCCTGTATGTGACAGTGTTTGTGAAAATGAATTTCCCTCAGGGGACAATAAAGGTCTATCTATCTGTCTCCCATAGTTGAGATATACTGTACCAATGATGAAAATTACAGGATTCCCTCATCTTTTTCAAAGGGAGAACTTGCATAGTTGGTGGCTGACTAAATACTTTTTTGCCCCGCTGTATGTAGATGGAAATAGAATTTAAAAATATACCCGAACATAACCCTCCTTAATTCATTAATCTAATTGAGATAATCTTCATCTTGAGCGTCTTTTTCGCAGTGATTACATGTACTGTATAATGTTCTTTTCTGAGCATTGCTCTATACCAGGTTGTGATATGTCAGAGTGATTGAGGAGTTGTATACCCTCTTTGTGTGCATTAGCCTGTCCATTACCGCACATGTGTTCTGTGCTGATCATATCTGTATGAATAAGTGAACAGTCTTCAAAACATTCTCATTAGTGGTGGCTGAGTGGATAGCACTATTGCTTCTCAGCAAGAAGATCCTTTGTTCGAATCCTGGTCGGAATGGGGCCTTTCTGAGTGGAGTTTACATGTTTTTCCCGTGTTGGCGTAGATTCGATCCGGTTTCCCCTACCACTAAAAACAAACTTACAGGATCTACTAAACTTACTAAAAAATAAACTTACAGACTCTGCTCTGCTCTGGGACACACTAGAATAGAGTAAAACATACGATAGAGTTGACTATTTTTTTATATTACCTGTGAGATGAAAATATGGCAAATATTAGTCATATTGTGAATAGAGAGAGATAGATGATGGTTTGGAAAGCAAATTTTGCTTTATTAGTTTAAAAAAAAAAAAGCTTGATTTTGACCCTGCATCTCTCTGCTCTGGTCTGATCAGTGTATAACCATGAACCCTGTATGCAGTGAAATTTACTGCTAGAAAAAAGCAATACAAATTATGATTGTAGAGCACAAAACAACAATTTCAGAGCTTCTTAGGACGAAGGCAATTGTTGAAATAATGCTGAAAGAAATAAGTTTTCAAGTCATACTGTGCACTATGCCCAGTATTATTATGGGGTGGCACCATCATGTTTTCAGGCTGCTTATCTTCAGCAGGGACAGGGACTATAACACATGATGGGAAGAATGATGGGGCTCAGCAAAACAATTGAGGCTGGGGTGGATATTTACCATCCAGAAGGACAATGACCCTAAATCCTTCTTACAATTTGGTGAGAGAGCTGACAACTGGTATTCACAAATCAGACAGAACTTGAGAAACACACCTCCTTTGGGTTGTATTTTTTGTTCTTCAATCAGTGGTCTCAGGTGAGTTTTTGGACCCATAGGTAAATTACACTCATTCATCCCAATGCAAAGCTGTCAGCGGCTTTAATCACTGTAAATCCGCTATTACCACCATTATATTGCACCATCAAAATTGCTATTACACAAGTGGAAAGTTTGTGCATCACAAGCAGCAAATGGGAAGTCATTAGTCCCTCATATTTCTGCACTGCTGCTTCTGATTGGATACATGCATTTTCTACAAAGAGCAAGTTTACAACCTCGTCAGGCCCATTTGTTGCTCTTTTTTTTCTTTTACCTGGAGCCAGTCCTTGAGATTTGGCACATTGCATCTGTAAGGTGAGAATAAGGGCAGGCGCAGTCGAGCGTGAAATAGCAGCCCTTCTCGTAACATGCC